TTTAATAATGTCTGAAAATATATCCAAACCTAATATAAGTAATGTGCTTTATGTCTTACGTTCTCACTCTGCACTGCAGCTAATGGTTTATATGTATTTATATATAGGGCTATACAGCCATCTAGTGGTTACACAGTGGTATTGCAGATTATAAATTTAGAGATTCATATTTAGAAAAATATCTGTAAAATATTAAAGAAAAAAATATTGAGCTGAAATCATCCTCTATAAGTGTTTGGGCGCTCTGCATTCAGGCTTGAATCTGATTTTATCACAGCAGAGTAAAGCGTGTGTGTGTTCACCTTGGAACAATTAAAAAATATTTAACACTGAACATTTTTTAACATTCTAGTCGACATTATTCTTATTATGAATTTGGGAAGATGTTTGTCATGTTTGTCATCACATTGTCACATTTAGGGCTTTCACGATTCGTCGATTTTATTCGACTATTCGATTTTTAAAAATCCTCGACATTTTGACAGCATGTTCTCAATAGGGATGCACCGAAACTAAAATACTTGGCTGAAGCCAGAACCGAACAAAATGAAACACTGGGCCGAAGACCGAATTCCGAACACCTTTTTTTTGCATTTTCCCCCATATATTTAGCAAATTTTTTCAGCATTGCATAAATTAAATAGCCAGAATGTGCTTTTTACGGTTTTGTCTTGCTTTTCAAAGAAAAAATCAATTACAAAACAACATTCTAGTCGACATTATTCTTATTATGAATTTGGGAAGATGTTTATCATGTTTGTCATCACATTGTCACATTTAGGGCTTTCACGATTCGTCGTATGCGCTTTAATTATTTACATGCGTGTAGGTTAAGTGCATGCGTCACAGTAGCTCCACAGGAACTGTTATCATTCACACGTGTGTGGAGCGTCTCAAACTGCATCTCTGCATGTTGTTGTGAGTTTGGGTTTATTATAACCTTCATCTGGGAACGCAGCGTGCACCATTTCATCAGATTTGTAAGATAAATCATTTATAAATCTACGCAAACACAGGAGAATACATCACGGTTTCAGAATAAAAGCTCGAACCCTCACTCTGAGTTTACACGGTGTGATGTCCACATATTCTTATAATTAGTGGCTATAGCATTTCTGTCCTAAAGAAATGGCCAAATATTAAAGATTAAGTGAACATTTGAATTAAATGAAGCTTGGTCAATATTAAACCAAATTTGAACTAATTATTATTGCCTCATTGCTATTATTTATGTATTTTAAGTAATTTTAAAGGTTATTGTTCACTTACATCTATTTTTATTACCACAAAAAAACTAATTATAATTATAGGGCACTATGAAATCTGTTTTATTCCCAAATTCAGTTTTTTCCATTTTCATTTTTTTATACTCCGTTTTAATGGTTAATTTAAATTGTATTAATCAAAAAGCCTGTCTAATTAATTGAGTTTTACAGTTTTATCTTTACCAAATTCTGTTTTCCGTTATTTTCTGGATTCCACTTGAATGGTTCCATTACATTTTAATAATCAAAAGCATCTCCAATTAATTGATTTTATTTTTAAAAATATATATATCTATCTTTTTTTTCTTTATAATGTTGTTATTAGTAGACTACAGCAGCTGGACATGTAGTCATTCTTACTCTATAATACTGAACTCTGTGAGGTGGACTCTGAGACGGACACCTGCTTCTTGCACTCTATGCTGCACTTTACTTGTTTACTTTTGGATTTCATTTGGTTTAATCAATATAGTTTAATAAAATATTCTTAAGTAAAATTGTTGATTTTTTTGGTAGGAAATTAATCATTTAGATTAACCTCACGATCAATAATTAACGATCAATTGATAAATTAGTCGATAGATTAATCGAAATAAAAATAGTCATTAGTGGCAGCCCTAGCCGTGTAAAAATTCATCAAATGTTACTGAGCAACTGACGATTAACACTGTTTCAGCGCAGGATTTAAACCCTGGCTAACGAGCTTGTGCTGTCAGAATACAAGCAATTCATGCGTGCATTAGAAAACATAACATTCTGCAGATTATTTAGTAGTTGTTTAAGGCCATTTGGTGATTTCAATCCTCATACGGTAACCCTTCCTCGTCTCATGGAAGACATGCGCTGCAGTGCTAAACAGTCTCTCGCTGTCGGTGCTTGTGATGATTTGTGTGTCTTTCTCTGACAGTTTTAAATCCGATATGTTTGCTGTGTTATAAAGAGTGTGTGCCTCTCACTCTACGCTGCTTGCTATTTGATTGCGTCACCAAAAATGTCATTGTTCGGTACAATCTATTCAGTCTTTTCGCTTGTATATCTTTCTTTGCTATTTTCGGCCGAATAGTTTCGGTTGCGGAACATTCGGAGCATCCCTAGATTTGAATCAGTGCAGTCTAGACCAGTAATATTCAGATGGTCTGAGTGTGTACCTGACTCATCTGTCCGTGGAGAGGGATGGCCGTGATGCCCAGGTTTCTGAGCAAGAGCGCCACCCGCTGGGCGTTATTACACGTGCCGCAGAAAACCATGAAAGAGTTCCCAGCCAGTTCATTCAGGATAGAGACCAGATAACAGTCCTGTGAACAAACACAAGCTCCCATCACACACATCCTCTGACAGCACTCTCCTCAGGGTCAGAGTTTAATAAAGACAGAACCTTGTACTTGGACGGGATGAAGATGTAATACTGCTGCAGCTTGTCGACGGTGGCGTATTTGGAGGAAACGGTGCATTTAACAGGATCCTGTAGAGCCGCGCGCTGCAGCTTCTGCACCTGAAACACAGAGAACCGCTGCTTTAATCAGGGCTGCACTGATGCTTACAGCTACTTTCAGCTGCTTAAACACACAATCTTTACTCGTCACACAGTTTCTGAGAGCTGAACTCAAACAGCAGAAGCACACACCAGATCTGCACAACCTTACACTGATTCTCAGCCACTGACTCAGTTTTCAGTTTCAGAAAACACAATTCTCTGTGTAACTTTACTTTTGGATTTCATTTGGTTTAATCAATATAGTTTAATAAAATATTCTTAAGTAAAATTGTTGATTTTTTTGGTAGGAAATTAATCATTTAGATTAACCTCACGATCAATAATTAACGATCAATTGATAAATTAGTCGATAGATTAATCGAAATAAAAATAGTCATTAGTGGCAGCCCTAGCCGTGTAAAAATTCATCAAATGTTACTGAGCAACTGACGATTAACACTGTTTCAGCGCAGGATTTAAACCCTGGCTAACGAGCTTGTGCTGTCAGAATACAAGCAATTCATGCGTGCATTAGAAAACATAACATTCTGCAGATTATTTAGTAGTTGTTTAAGGCCATTTGGTGATTTCAATCCTCATACGGTAACCCTTCCTCGTCTCATGGAAGACATGCGCTGCAGTGCTAAACAGTCTCTCGCTGTCGGTGCTTGTGATGATTTGTGTGTCTTTCTCTGACAGTTTTAAATCCGATATGTTTGCTGTGTTATAAAGAGTGTGCGCCTCTCCCTCCACGCTGCTTGCTATTTGATTGCGTCACCAAAAATGTCATTGTTCGGTACAATCTATTCAGTCTTTTCGCTTGTATATCTTTCTTTGCTATTTTCGGCCGAATAGTTTCGGTTGCGGAACATTCGGAGCATCCCTAGATTTGAATCAGTGCAGTCTAGACCAGTAATATTCAGATGGTCTGAGTGTGTACCTGACTCATCTGTCCGTGGAGAGGGATGGCCGTGATGCCCAGGTTTCTGAGCAAGAGCGCCACCCGCTGGGCGTTATTACACGTGCCGCAGAAAACCATGAAAGAGTTCCCAGCCAGTTCATTCAGGATAGAGACCAGATAACAGTCCTGTGAACAAACACAAGCTCCCATCACACACATCCTCTGACAGCACTCTCCTCAGGGTCAGAGTTTAATAAAGACAGAACCTTGTACTTGGACGGGATGAAGATGTAATACTGCTGCAGCTTGTCGACGGTGGCGTATTTGGAGGAAACGGTGCATTTAACAGGATCCTGTAGAGCCGCGCGCTGCAGCTTCTGCACCTGAAACACAGAGAACCGCTGCTTTAATCAGGGCTGCACTGATGCTTACAGCTACTTTCAGCTGCTTAAACACACAATCTTTACTCGTCACACAGTTTCTGAGAGCTGAACTCAAACAGCAGAAGCACACACCAGATCTGCACAACCTTACACTGATTCTCAGCCACTGACTCAGTTTTCAGTTTCAGAAAACACAATTCTCTGTGTAACACACACAAATCTAACAGCAAGCATCTCGATTAGGGCAAAAATCATAATCATGATTATTTTGGTCAATATTGTAATCACGATTATTTAACATGATTATGAGTGATTTATTTAAAGATAGTGATGCATATTAAATATATATTTTCTGTAAATGAGGTTGCTATGACATCTACAATTTAGAGACATTTTCCAACACAATTCTCAACACCACAGCAGAGCATTAGCGTAACTGATATCAGTAACAAACAAACAGTCCTCAAAATCACTGAAAATAATTAAACCGTCAGTAATAACAAAGCAAAGGACAAATGACGTAAATGTAATAAAAAGATACAAATGTAACAAACTGTGCTTAAAAGTTTTTTTAATGCAAGTCTCATTAACAGAAATGTAAAATAAAACAGCATAGTCTGAGTAAGAATTAAACTTTCCTTGTTTCTTATTAAAGGCTTAGGGTTAGGGTTATTAAAGCTACAAAGGTCCTTCACTCCAGAGCAGTGTGTGACTTAGAACTTGTCTTGTGTTGTTTGATTAATATGAAGCACACAGTCAGCAGCAGGAATATTAGGCTGCTGTCACTTTAAGAGCTGCACGGATCCAATTTACTGTTACACACGCATGTTCATTCTCAACTCTTTACCTTCATTTATTACACGACCGACGAGGGTTTACGCGAATAACAGCACAAGTTATCTGTAGCACTTTTAAAACCATGAATAAATCTAATACACTTCAACACATCAAGCACATCCCATTTAGCCAAAGTCACGTTACATGATTCACTGATCTGCACGTGAAACTGGGCTTTTACGGAGGAGCGAAAGAGCACCGCTGGAAAGCCCCGTGAAGCCGTGGTTTACAGTGAATTTATAACAGCTAAGGGGCATTGTTAGGCACGATGTGAAGCAGAGTCTAAAACCCTCTTAGCTGTTATAAATTCACTGTAAACCACGGCTCCACAGCTCCACGGGGCTAACTGCTTTATATAACTTATCCAGCTTCTTCTTCCCATAAAAATGGGTGATTAGTGAATTCTGTGTGTCTGGCTTCCGGTCTCATCCACGTCCAGCTATGTTTAGCTGTACAGAACCGCTCGTTTTGCTGCTTGACACTGAAAATCGGTCTGTCTTACCATATTATTTGAATGTGTTGTCTTATTTATGAACACACTGGTTTATAATGCAAACAGTTTTACCGTTCACGCCACGGTGTTATTCTCCTCGTTATTTCTCTATAGCAGCTAATGAACCAGAAGTCTTGCCCATAGGCTTACTTCCACGTTGAAGAAAAAGGTGGATAAAACGGTTATTCCACATATGTATCAAGGTTTTTACAAAATAAAATAAAGCAAATAATAAAGTGTAATGATATTAATAAACACAGTATTCTTCCACCAAACAATGTAGCTCCTCAGAAACAGTTGTGGTTGCTACAAAGTGGCTGCAGAGCAACACACAGACGTAAACAAAGGTGTGTGTTTGTAGAGTAAGGCCATGTCCACTAGGGCTGCATTTCAAATATTCGTCAAATTAAAAAAAATCCACATTTGAACGCAAAAACATTGCATTTGAATTTCAGGTGTGCGTCAGCCGTCAGGCAGCTTATCAGTGCTGCACGAGATGCGACGACGCTGTAAGTACCGTTGCATTATAATGCTTTTGTTAGCCTGTCCATTGAAGCCACTGGGTGCGGCGCTGCTGCGTTGTTCATTCAATATATTGCAGAAAACGAGAACAATCAATGCGGAGATGTTGTTTACGTCAAAACCGAAACCAAGCCGTTCACACAGAACACATATTTAAGAAGAAACTTTGAAGAAACGTGCATAATATTTTGCTCGATGCGCCCTCTTGTGGCCTCAGGAGAGAAGCCAAAAGCTTTTTTCCCCCTAACTGAAATTATGCCTTTTAAATTTGAATATAATTTGACTATTGATAATATTAAGTAGAAAATTCGAATTTAGTTTTTCAGTCATTTTGACAGCCCTAATGTCCACACGTACACGGACATTTTCATAAACAGTTTTTCCTTCTTCAGTTTTTAAAAAAAATCTCTGTCCACATGAAAACGCATGCTATAAAGCACTGCCAAGATCATGCCAAACCAACAGGTGGCGATATAATCTCAACCGTAAGGCCATGTTGGCCAATCAGAAGCCTGAAAAAAGTCTTCAGTAGGCGGAGATAACAGCGCAGGCTCCGACGGCACAAGCCAAAAACTCCGGTTTCGCCGTCTACACGATAACACTGCAACCAGAGCTTCTGAAAATCTTCACCCTGGCAGGCGTTTTCAGAAACGTTCGGTTTCAGTGACCTGCTGCTGCGCTTGCGTGTGGACGAACGGCCAGACCGCACAGAAAAAGCTGCGGTTTTGAAAACACCTGCATTCGTGAAGACAGGGCCTAATTTACAGCAGCTTCGAACACGGCTCAACCAATCAGAATCAAGAACTGGAACTATCCGTTTTATAAAAAACTGTAGAACATAGTCTGTGGGTTTGTACCTTTTTAGTCATGGTGGCCGAAAACAGGAAGGTGCGTCTGTCTCGAGGAATCACCTTCAGGATCTTATCCACCTGAAACACACACACACACACACAGTTCAGATACTGTAACGACATTACTGAGCTCAAACCCGTGCATAATATTTTGCTCGATGCGCCCTCTTGTGGCCTCAGGAGAGAAGCCAAAAGCTTTTTTCCCCCTAACTGAAATTATGCCTTTTAAATTTGAATATAATTTGAATATTGATAATATTAAGTAGAAAATTCGAATTTAGTTTTTCAGTCATTTTGACAGCCCTAATGTCCACACGTACACGGACATTTTCATAAACAGTTTTTCCTTCTTCAGTTTTAAAAAAAAATCTCTGTCCACATGAAAACGCATGCTATAAAGCACTGCCAAGATCATGCCAAACCAACAGGTGGCGATATAATCTCAACCGTAAGGCCATGTTGGCCAATCAGAAGCCTGAAAAAGTCTTCAGTAGGCGGAGATAACAGCGCAGGCTCCGACGGCACAAGCCAAAAACTCCGGTTTCGCCGTCTACACGATAACACTGCAACCAGAGTTTCTGAAAATCTTCACCCTGGCAGGCGTTTTCAGAAACGTTCGGTTTCAGTGACCTGGTGCTGCGCTTGCGTGTAGACGAACGGCCAGACCGCACAGAAAAAGCTGCGGTTTTGAAAACACCTGCATTCGTGAAGACAGGGCCTAATTTACAGCAGCTTCGAACACGGCTCAACCAATCAGAATCAAGAACTGGAACTATCCGTTTTATAAAAAACTGTAAAACATAGTCTGTGGGTTTGTACCTTTTTAGTCATGGTGGCCGAAAACAGGAAGGTGCGTCTGTCTCGAGGAATCACCTTCAGGATCTTATCCACCTGAAACACACACACACACACACACACACACACACAGTTCAGATACTGTAACGACATTACTGAGCTCAAACCACACACACACACACACACACACACACAGAGTTCAGATACTGGGACGACATTACTGAGCTCAAACCACACACACACACACATTTGTAAACACTGACTGAGTCGGTACTTCCGCCTAAGTCAAGCGTGACCTTTTCAACGTAATTACATATTGCGTGAAGTCATGGAGAGCAGAGCAGTGCAAGGCGCGCATTTCTGTTTATAAAGTATATCATTTCTTTTTTTTAGAAAATGGCCGATGGTTTCTCTAGATAAGACCCTTATTCCTCGTCTGGTATCGTGTACAGCTCTTTGAAGCTGCTCTGAAACTGTAATTTTGACCTTCAACCGTCTGGTAGCCGTTGAAGTCCACTATAAGGAGAATAATTCTGGAATGTTTTCATCAAAAACCTTCATTTCTTTCCGACTGAAGAAAGAAAGACGCAAACATCTTGGATGACATGGGGGTGAGTAAATTATCAGGAAATTTTAATTTGAAAGTGAACTAATCCTTTAAGGTTACCACTGCATCTTTCTGGAAAAAAATACAGCGATTGAATATAGTTTATTTATTTTCAAATCTTCATTGTACGGTCATTATAAAATAACTTTGTCATAGTTTATTTAAATGTGCCATAGAATACATTGATACAACACACACACACACACACACACACACACACAGTTCAGATACTGTAACGACATTACTGAGCTCAAACCACACACACACACACATTTGTAAACACTGACTGAGTCGGTACTTCCGCCTAAGTCAAGCGTGACCTTTTCAACATAATTACATATTGCGTGAAGTCATGGAGAGCAGAGCAGTGCAAGGCGCGCATTTCTGTTTATAAAGTATATCATTTCTTTTTTTTAGAAAATGGCCGATGGTTTCTCTAGATAAGACCCTTATTCCTCGTCTGGTATCGTGTACAGCTCTTTGAAGCTGCTCTGAAACTGTAATTTTGCCCTTCAACCGTCTGGTAGCCGTTGAAGTCCACTATAAGGAGAATAATTCTGGAATGTTTTCATCAAAAACCTTCATTTCTTTCCGACTGAAGAAAGAAAGACGCAAACATCTTGGATGACATGGGGGTGAGTAAATTATCAGGAAATTTTCATTTGAAAGTGAACTAATCCTTTAAGGTTACCACTGCATCTTTCTGGAAAAAAATACAGCGATTGAATATAGTTTATTTATTTTCAAATCTTCATTGTACGGTCATTATAAAATAACTTTGTCATTGTTTATTTAAAGGTGCCATAGAATACATTGATACAATTTGTTAAATTGTTCTCTGATATCTACATGGAAGGTTTGTGGCTTAGGTAAGGGCAAAAAATCTCCAGGAACAGTTTTACATGTCCATTTACAACCCTGGTATTTGTCCCTAGAATGAAATGCTCTGTTTTTACCTTATTTGGAAGGCTCATGAATAACAATGTTGAGCTCTGCTCTGATTGGCTGTTCCACAGTGCAGCTCATTTCAGTAGCTCACACAGCAGGAAGGAAACACAGGGAAAATATATATTTCAATACTTTCTCTCGCAGTTATATCGTTGGGTAATTATACTGTATATAATGTGCGGACATCAGGTAGCCGCTATTAATATGCGAGGCATTGAATCTGCTTTCGAATGCACAATGGCTTTTTACTTTCACTTTGGAGATTTGCGATCGCATGTGCTCTGTGTAAACTACAGCGGCAGTACTTACTACACATTTGACAAGATCAGATGCTTGTCAGTGGTGCTCAGGAACTGTAAACCATTCGCCATCATCCTCAGTCATCTCTCCTTACTCTGTTTATGTGGTAAGTGAAATCTTATGTACTGTAATGTAACAGGCTACCGCTAGCAAGCGGCTAACCGTGTCCCTTTAGTGGCTTGCGTTATTTTATTAGAACACGCGTTATTTGTTTTCCGTACCTTTCTGAATACAGACACCAACCCATCCCTGCACAATCCAATGTGGTAAGTGAAATCTTATGTACTGTAATGTAACAGGCTACCGCTAGCAAGCAGCTAACCATGTCTCTTTAGTGGCTGGCGTTATTTTATTAGAACACACGTTATTTGTTTTCCGTACCTTTCTGAATACAGACACCAACCATCCCTGCACATCACATCCCCTGCACAGCCTGGATCATAACGTTTATCCTCGCTTGTTTCTTCAACACCTGCAGAACTTCTGATGATCCGGCTGTGCAGGTGCGGCTGGCGTAGAACATGGGCGGGTTTATGCAAATGTAGGGGGCGTAACTATTAGTGATCCCGACTGTAACGTCACAGTCGGTGTTATGTTCTGATTCGCCTGTTTTCAGTGGTCTTTTGCATGCACGAGATTTACATGAGAAGGAAACAATGGCGTTTGAGGCTCACTATCCTCGCTTGTTTCTTCAACACCTGCAGAACTTCTGATGATCCGGCTGTGCAGGTGCGGCTGGCGTAGAACATGGGCGGGTTTATGCAAATGTAGGGGGCGTAACTATTAGTGATCCCGACTGTAACGTCACAGTCGGTGTTATGTTCTGATTCGCCTGTTTATCAGTGGTCTTTTGCATGCACGAGATTTACATGAGAAGGAGGAAACAATGGCGTTTGAGGCTCACAGTATGTCATTTCCACGCACAGAACTGTTATTATTCAACTATGCCAAGGTAAATACAGTTTTCCATTCTATGGCACCTTTAAATCTAAAATGCCAATTACGCCTTCTGTTTACGGCCAATAGGTAGCCTAATTCTGATACATGCAATGACTACCCATTATGACATGTAGGCATTATGTAGTCTACACATTAATAATCTTTTACATTGTAATCATTTAATTTGTAATATTTGGCATGCTTGTGTGCCTAGGGATGGTCACGATTTTAGAATACTCAATTAGTTGATTTAATTATAGAAAATCGAATAGGTTGTGCGATTATTGTCTTAAAAAATAAAGACTTGCGTAGCATATGACGGTTACAGTAACTTGGGACGATGTCAAATAAGAGCTCTGTGCGGACCACAAACCCCCCGACTGGGTTAGAGGTGTGGCTGAATCCGTGTTCAGAAAGGTGCGGAAAACAAATAACACGTTCTACGGAGTGATTAAAGGGACACGGTTAGCCGCTTGCTAGCGGTAGCCTGTTACATTACAGTACATAAGATTTCACTTACCACATGAACAGAGTAAGGAGAGATGACTGAGGACGATGGCGAATGATTTACAGATCCTGAGCACCACTGACAAACACCTAATCTTGTCAAATGTGTGGTAAGTACTGGCGAGTGCTGCTCCGTACGTGTGATCGCGAATCTCGAAAGTGAAAGTAAAAAGCAAGTGCGCGTTCAAAAGCAATTTCAATGCTTCGCATATTAATAGCGGCTCCCTGATGCCCGCAGTTTATATACAGTGTAATTACCCAACGATATAACTGCGACAGAAGATATTGAAGTATATTTTTCCTCCCGTCTCGTATCTATTCCCTTTAGGGGTTCCATTTTTTGGAATGGAAATGTCCTAGCCTTATGAGCAGTTGATTTATGCTAATCGACGGACCGTTATGTTAATAAATGCTGTCATTTGGGTATGTATAACATTGTATTAATATGTTTTTGAAGATTGAAAGCGTGAATCCCGTCTCTCTCTGTCTATGGGTGTTTGTGCGTGCAGCATGTGAACGAGGGGTGCGATTTTCGAATAATAATCAAATAATACCCAGCGATTTTCGAATATAATTTTTGCTTGGAATGCCCATCCCTAATACTAATGCGCTCTTTAAATAACAAAAAAACTACTGCACCATTGACTTTAGAGCAGGTTTTAGTTGGTCAGTGGCGCAGTCCATTTCAGTTGCCTCAAAATAGCAATGCACCTGAACACACCTGGTTTTCAGACCAGCACGCCCATGAGGCACAAATGCATTTGCTATTTAAACAACGTGGCGCAGGACGTGAAAATGACAACTGCGTCGGGCTGAAACTAGCAAAAAGCACTGACGTCGCGCCTGGCGCCACATTGTGCCGGATGTATGATAGAGCCCTTGGTGTTGTTTCCAAACAAAAGGAAATATATCGGTATCGGTCAAAATGAGTTGAAAAATATCTGCATATCTGATATCGGCAAAAATCCAATACCGTGCATCCCTAATTACAGCTTAAATCCAGCAACAACAGATACGAGCAGCGACAGGTGAAGACACACCTCAGTCACAGTGTTATTAGACCTTCAGTGATCATTACATTATATCACGCGTCTTCAGAAACAGACCTAACTAGCTCATTCTCACGAAGAGAGATTCCCTTCATGTTAACATCAGGGCTGGGTATTGACACAAACTTTGTGATTAAATTTGATTCTGATTCAATTCAATATTGATTATTTTATGGCTGCAATATAACAAAGAGTGAAAAATTTAAGGGGGTCTGAATACTTTCCGTACCCACTGTATATCAGGTACAGTACATAGCAAATTTTCAAGGAAAACTCTCTCAACTAATGCTGTAAAATTTTCATCATACAGTCAGCTGGTCCTACTTCATAATATCAGGGGTTAAAATGAACTGATTTGTATACAAACACTTACATTACCACTCAATGAAGTTTTATAATAATAAATCATAATACTAACTTTACAATTACATAATTATATTTCTTCTGCAATTAGTTTTTTTTAAAAATATAAACATTTAAATGTTGGCTGTCATAAAAACTTGATAGATTTATTCAAACATCAATTAAATATTGAAGAACAGTAAAAATTATAATGGATATAGTGCATATATTTAGCGAAATGCCCCTCTCCAGAGTTCATTTCTAGCTGACTAACAAGTGTATGGTCAACTAATATTATTTTCTTCAGGTAAATGTGAGGTTACGTGACATTGTTTACAAGCTGTTATACTGACACCTTTCCGCGGTTAAACACTTACTGATAGGGTTGGGTACCGAACTCATTACTTTTAAAGGTACCAAATGAATTGCGTCGGTACTAGCGAGTACTGATTCACTTTAAATCAATCGGTGCATCAATATCACTGGTTACTTTGCCTCTGACTGCAACTATTTTCATGGGGGATAAAACAGAACTAACCGTTTAATTGATCCAAGTGAATCAGTGTTTTGGATCAAATGACCCGAACGACTCGTTCACAGTGACAGTTACTGACCTGCAGCAAGAGTCACTGATCGATCAATCAGCAGCACAAACGCTGAACCGCATTCATCACAGCTGGTCAAACGCTGAGAGCTGTGTGTGTGTGTACCTCAGACTCAAAGTCCATGTTGAGAATGCGGTCAGCTTCGTCCATCACCAGATACTTGAGCGCTCGCAGGTTGAATCCTTTGGTGTTTTCCAGGTGATCGATCAAACGTCCCGGAGTCGCTGAGTCACAGAGAACGAATCACAATCTGATTCAAATCACAGCACGACGACATTCGACACAGTAACGAGTCGTTTCTCTCCACTGAAGACTGAAGAGTGATGAGACGAGAAGAGAACAGAAGCTCTTACCGATCACCACGTGAGGCTTCTTAGCCAGAACCAGAGCCTGAGACATCATATCGATCCCCCCCACGACCACAGCTGGAACACACACACACACACACACACACACACACACATGAGAAACACACACACACACAAAGATACACACACACACACACACACACACAAAGATACACACACACACACACACACACACAAAGATACACACACACACACACACACACACAAAGATACACACACACACACACACACACACAAAGATACACACACACACACACACACACACAAAGATACACACACACACACACACACACACAAAGATACACACACACACACACACACACACAAAGATACACACACACACACACACACACACAAAGATACACACACACACACACACACACACAAAGATACACACACACACACACACACACACAAAGATACACACACACACACACACACACACAAAGATACACACACACACACACACACACACACACGAGAAACACACACACACACGAGAAACACACACACACAAGAGAAACACACACACACACACACACACAGAGATAGACACACACACACACACACGAGAAACACACACAGAGATACACACACAGATACAGACACACACAAACACAGAGATATACACACACACACACACACACACAGATAGACACACACAGACACACACACACGAGAAACACACACACACACACACAAAGATACACACACACACACACACAAAGATACACACACACACACACACAAAGATACACACACACACACACACAAAGATACACACACACACACACACAAAGATACACACACACACACACACAAAGATACACACACACACACACACAAAGATACACACACACACACACACAGGTAGACACACACAGACACACACACACGAGAAACACACACACACACGAAACACACACACAAGAGAAACACACACACACACACACAAGAGAAACACACACACACACGAGAAACACACACACAAGAGCACACGAGAAACACACACACACAAGAGAAACACACACACACACACACACACACGAGAGAAACACACACACACACAAGAGAAACACACACACACACAAGAGCACACGAGAAACACACACAAGAGCACACGAGAAACACACACACACAAGAGCACACAAGAAACACACACACACACACAGATACACACACAGATACACACACGAGAAACACACACACACACGAGAAACACACACACACACGAGAAACACACACACACACACAGAGATAGACACACACACACACACACACACACGAGAAACACACACAGAGATACACACACAGATACAGACACACACAAACACAGAGATATACACATACACAGATAGACACACACAGACACACACAAACACAGAGATATACACACACACACACACACAGATAGACACACACAGACACACACACACACAAATGAGAAACACACACACACGAGAAACACACAGATACACACACACGAGAAACACACACACAAGTTTGTTTATACACACACATAAGTTACGAATTTCAAACACACATGAGAAACACAGGCGCTGATGTGAGTCACAACACCACTGAACCCTATCACTGTCTGCTGTTACTAACATCACGTGCAGTTGAGGTCAAAAGTTTACATACCCCTGCAGAATCTGCTAAATGTTAATTTTACCAAAATAAGAGGGATCATACAAAATGCATGGTATTGTTTTATTAAAGGGTTAGTTTACCCAAAAATTAGTGAGTTTTACTCACCCTCGAGGCATCCCAGGTGTATATGGGATGGCTATTCCAAGCTCTATCATGGCACTCAGCGGGTGTTGCAGTGCTTCAGTCCAAAAGAAGTTAAATAAAAAGCGTCCATCTTTAATAAACGTTGACCTCATACGTCATGCTCCCGGAACTGCTTCCGTGTACAACAGTGAGCGCAAGCTAGATTAAAGTGATTATTATGTTTTGAATATGGATATTTTTCTTACAAAAACGCATCGATTCGCTACAGAAGGCCTTTGTTCACCCCCCGGAGCTTTTTATTTAACTTCTTTTGGACTGAAGCACTGCAACACCCGCTAAATGCCATGATAGAGCTTGGAATAGCCAGGATAATTTTTAATATAACTCTGACTGGATTCGTCTGAAAGAAGAAAGTCATATACACATAGGATGCCTCGGGGGTGAGTAAAACAACAGCTAATTTTAATTTTTGGGTGAACTAACCCTTTAAGTACTGACTTGAATAAGATATTTCACATAAAAGATGTTTACATATAGCCCACAAGAGAAAATAAAAGTTGCATTTATAAAAATTACCCTGAGAGAGTGTGTGTGAGTGAGTGAGTGTGTGTGTGAGTGTATATATGTGTGTGAGTGAGTGAGTGAGTGAGTGAGTATATGTGTGTGAGTGTGTGTATATGTGTGTGAGTGAGTGTGTGTGTGTGTGTGTGTGTGTGTGAGTGAGTGAGTGAGAGAGTGAGTGAGTGTGTATATGTGTGTGAGTGAGTGAGTGAGTGAGTGAGT